ATTTACTACTCTGAGTAAGGGGACAAGTGTATGAGGGAGTAAGGCCAGAAGGTGACTCCTATTCAGTGTGAAGACCATGTGCCCACGCATCACCTCCTCCACTCACACGATGCTGCAGGTCAATCACCTCACATAGCCTCCCATGACCTTTGTGGGACCAGGACCTCAGTCAGTAAGCAGGGAGCAGAAGGGCCTAGAGGTTCCTAGTCGCTGCAGCAGGTGGGCGCACACGTGCTCTGCTAGTAACATGACATCCCTTCATTAGTTTTAGGATGTGGACCCTGTAGGCTGCTGGCCTGTTCCCTCCGCCCAGCAAGGCATGTCACCACCACACCTTGAGGCTGGATCAGGCCTCTGTCCCAGGATCCCAGCTGTACTTCTTCCACATCATACTAGTACAGCACTTCCACCATCCCTTCCCCCAGACTGGACTCTTCTATGGGTGTCCATCTGCCTATTCCACTCCACAGGCTGTTTGCATGAGAGAGCCTCCTGCGAGTGCCAGCCTGCTTCAGTAGCAGTCTCCCCCTGACCCAAAGGACCAGCCCCGCATGATAGGTCAAACCTGGGACCTCAGCGTGAATGCCAAGAAAAGCTCCCTTCCCTATAACATGCAGTATGGACTTTCCACTCCTGTTTTTCTAGGAGGAGCTTAAGCCGGACAGCTGAGGTACATTCAGAATCCCCAAAGCATACAGAGTGAAACCTGTACAAAAACCAGCCTCCCACAGAAGCTTCACAGGTCTTAAGCAATTATGGTAAGCGATCCCAGAGATTTCCAATTTGCTGCTGAGTTATCTCTCATCAAGTGGCTGGGCTTAGTTTTGAGGTCAGAATATACATTTTAGGGATGGGGGTGACGTCTTTTGTACAACACCCTGTACAATAAAGCTCTGATCCTGATGGAGCCCCTTGGGCGGCTACTCCACAACAGTACAGAGGAAGGCGAGACAGCAGCCACAGATTTAAAACAGACAACTAGCTGGGAGAAGTACATTCAAATCTCAGTAATCAGAGGAATTAAATAGCTATAGTTGGATTACACACGTTTCAGGGATATCCATGAACCCTAGTAGGTATCTTCTAAAATAAATCACCTCTTACAGTTCCATATGTTGCCTTTTATCCTGAAGGATGTACTATACACTTAAACTGGCATGAAACCACATATGTGCAGGTCACTTTATCCATGACTGAAGGACTGCCATCCCCGACAGCTGTTTAACATTTTAGGAAGTGAAGATCAGGGTGCGTGCAATTGACAGGGCAGAGGGAATTTTAGGTAGGCAGAATGTTGTTCCTGGAGCTGAAGTTAGGCCAGGACATGATGGTTAATGCCTCAGAAGGTGTCATGGGATTATTAAGGACCCCAAGCAGCCCTGATTTTGGTTTTGTATCCCTCCCAAAAGACACTGGCCCCAGCTCCATTTTAGACAACTGGTCCTGCTCCAACAGAGCATAGAGAGCCACCTAATGAATCATTTCCCACACTTCTTACAGAAGCCTGACTATTTCCCATTCTCCAAAGCCCTGGCCCAAGCTGATGCTACTTAGCTTGCAAGAACCAAGAGGATCCCAGCTCAGATCAGCTGAAGAGCTGAGAGCTTGTTACAAGCCTAATGGACTGACATGGCACAGAATTCAGAGTTGTGGCAAACACTCCCATCAGTGGAGATAATGTATTACCTGCACGAGAAGCTCTAGCTTCCTGTCATCAAGGAGGTGCACTTGACATCGGCGGCCCTCCGTCATCTGCAAGAGAGAAGCAAAGCATGTTTCAGGATGCTTCATTTACAGGCTTGGCGAACATCAAGAGCTGCCGCTAAAGCCCTGCAGCCAGCAAAGGTTTTCATTCATTAGTTTCCCTTCCCTGTCACCAGGAAAAGAAGCACTTGCATGAGACAAATTAAAAACACCCTACCAAATTGAACTGAACAGTGCGGCTTGACTTAGCTACAGAGGACGGAAGTGAAAAATGAGGCCAGGGTGTGGAGTGAACAAGAGAGACTGATAATCCCTCACAGGCTACAGGAGGCAGCCCTGATATTTCATACATTGGCCCCTATCTTCAGTGTTGGGCACCAGTGGCAGGAGAAACTGCTGTACAAGTTATAAGGAAGTGGTTGATCATGAGAGCAAAGATTCAACCATAGCTGAAATAGTTTATAAGCAGGTAGGTCAAGGTTATCCTGGCTGAAATTCTAATGAATTTACTGGCATTGCACTAGGGATGAATGAAGGGAATACAAACCAGCAACTCTAACAATTTAAATCACCCCATGAAAATCCATTATTTAAATAATGGATTTTAGTCAAGTTTTCCCTTTGCACTTATTTTCTAAAGAAAGGTATGGTCTCATTGGTTGATATAACCATTAAAATGTGCTGATTTACAACAAAATAGAGGATTTACATTAGATTAGGCACATTATTTTGCTACATGGGAAATAAACTAACTATATACATTTATGTAGCATAATATTAACAGATAAGTGTCCATTTTAATGTTAGAAACTGATGAATGATATATTGCTTATTTACTAGATAATCAACCCTTTGCTTATGATCTGTGTCAAGCTACTGCAGTAGGATGGTAACTGGAATTTAATTAAACCCACAAAACAGCATATAAAATTTATTTTTATTAAAGAAAACAACCTAAAGTGTTTAGGATATATAAACTTTTCTTATGAAAATATGTTTCACATTACAACTAAATGATTTATTAAAAAGCGGGATTAACTGTAGTCAGTGAATTAAACTGATTATTTTAGGTCAACCTGGGAAAATTTTCAACTATGCCTAAATGAAAGTGATAGGAGCTTAACTTCCTATTTGCCTAAGTCTTTTGAAAATGAGACAGTCTCCTTAAGTTTCTTAGGCTGACCAATTGTGCAGTATTTATAAAGCTTGACCTCAAAAGTTAGATGAGTTCTTCCTTGATACTTTCTTTATATAGAAAAGCAGCTTTTATCTGAAAGCATTAGACAGAGGCTTCTGGGTTCAGCACCTTTATTTTTTTATTTAAACATTTTAAAGGGATTATAATAATCTTCGGCCTTCCCACATTTTGTATCACATTCAAATTTTAAACATAAACCTGTTTAAAATTAAACAAAAAATTACTATTTCAATAAAATAAAAAATTCGAATTAAAAAAATTGATTTTTAAATTAGGCCAAAAATCCTCAAATTTTTCCCACCCTGACATATATGTGAAGCGTACTGTAGGTTCTTTAGCAGCTCACGCACAAGTTTCATAGTATCAGTACATTCCTATGCTTCACTTTGTTTCTGAGCTTGGCATCACCATGCAATGAATTGGCTAATGGGCTTGGGTATTGTTTCCCTCTCCTGGAGAGAATCAGAATTTTTTTAAGTGACTACCATAAAGGTGGCTCACTACTTGTGAGCACAAATGGAGATCTTCCATGAGCTCATATGGGAAGAATAGTTTGGAGGAGAAGCCGAGGTCTAGTCCTGCTGTTGTACATAAGAACAGCCATACTGGGTCAGTTTATGGTCCATCTAGCCCAGTATCCTGTCTGCTGACAGTGGCCAATGCCAGATGCTCCAGAGGGAAGGAACACAACAGGTAATCCTCACGTGATCCCTCCCCCGTCACACATTTCCAGACAAACAGAGGCTAGGGACACCATTCCTACCCGTCCTGGCTAATAGCCATTGATGGACCTAACTTCCATGAATCTATGTAGCTCTTTTTTTAACCCTGTTAAAGTCCTAGCCTTCACCACATCCTCTGGCAAGGAGTTCCAGAGGTTAACTGTGTGCTGAGTGAAGAAAAATTTCCTTTTGTTTGTTTAAAACCTGGAAGTTTGTTTGTTGTCTGGAAGATCAGCATGGCTGAGGTGTGCAGCACTAGGATAGATGGGAAGTTCCTACATGGACAGGGATTTCTTACAGAATTTTCCCTAAGATGAAGACCCCAGACCAAGTGAATTATGTGTGTCGTCCCCCCCCTTTCTGGTGCAACAGGTGCAAAAGGCACGGCTACCAAACTAGTTATGAGCTATGACATTCTGGAAATGGCCATATTCTTGCTTGTTTCCAATTCCACGAGGACACTGACATCTACTTTCGAGCAACAAAAGTAAAACAAGTCTAGTAGTGCATTGGAACGAGAAGCAGGAGCATTTTATGGCACATTTTAAGAGAGAACTGATCCAACACATTCTGGCTCCACTGAGGCTGCTGTGTTTCACCCTCTGCAATGTTGCTATTCCACAGTGTCTGCTCCACTGGGTTGGTCCCGCTGTGGTCTCTCAGCAGATGATCCAAGGCGCCACTTTGGATCATCACATCACAAGAGAAAACAATGTCAATGCCCAACAGATGGAACCAGGGATCTGGAGGTCACTAACCATTAACAACTGCTCAGCAGCGGTGGCTTTTTAATGGGAGAGCCTGCAAAGAGTGGAACCAGGTCCTTAAACTCCATCAGTAAGATCTTGCTACTACAGGAGAGCTCAAAGCAGAAAAGGGGGATGAGGACTTACTTTCCCCTTTGCTACTAAAAGCACTTGGGCTGTGTCTAGACTGCATCCCTTTTCCGTAAAAGGGATGCAAATTAGACACATCGCAATTGCAAATGAAGCAGGGATTTAAATCCCCCCTGCTTCATTTGCATAAACAGGGCTGCCACTTTTTTCTGGCTCGGAGCTTTGCCAGAAAAAAGCGCCAGTCTAGACGAGGATCTTTTGGAAAATAAAGCCTTTTCCGAAAGATCCCTTATTACTCTTAAAAAAAGGAATAAGGGATCTTTCAGAAAAGGCTTTATTTTCCGAAAGATCCGCGTCTAGACTGGCGCTTTTTTCCGGCAAAGCTCCGTGCCGAAAAAAAGTGGCAGCCATTTTTATGCTAATAAAGTGGGGGAGATTTAAATCCCCGCTTCATTAGCAATTGCGATACGTCTAATTTGCATCCCTTTTACGAAAAAGGGATGCAATCTAGACACAGCCTTGGAGTATTCCAAGGGGGAGAGGGAAAGAAGATGAAGAAAGAAAGGGTTCTGGGTAGAAGACCAGAATGCACGACAGTGAAGGGAAACACATTTGAGCATAAGAGATCATTCATTACCAGGGACCCTAGAAATCCGTTT